GAACAGAAAATAGTAAATAATAACAACATCACTGCTGGCACCCTTTTTGGAAAGGCACCCTCTTGCCTTTCCTCCTTAGGGATGGGGGGAAGCTGCTTTACTGCATTTTGCTGTCAGGGCAAGGCTACTGCTGCAGCAAGGAACAGAAGTGGGAAGCGAAACCGCGGAGCGGGTCACCCAGGCCAGATGACCAAACCTTGCCTGGTCACGTCCTTTCCCCGACGTCAGACGGATGCTCATGAACACTCAGCCTTTGCCGAGCACCTCGTCCTACCAGCCTGACCAAGACTCCCAGAGCCGCTTCCTACGGCCTGCGACAACTACAGATTTCTAGTCCAAATAGTTGCCACGAGCGTTTTGAGAGCTTAGAGTTTTCCCATTATCAAAGGAAGGGGGTAGGACGAGGGCAGCAGCGTAGCAGGCACGAGCAGCACCCACTGGACCACCTGAGGAAGGAGGAAGCTGAACTCTTTTCAAAGCAAACATTGGTTGCAAATCCCCCTTCTGAGGACAATTTGGATTTTGGACCGATTTTGGCCTGCGCAAACAGCTATCAGATACTCCCCTCCCTCCCCAAGCCCTGATTTTTCAGGTATTCAAAACGCAAATCCACCTCTTTCACAGCAGAAGGTGGAGTCTCCTAAAACATCAGTCAGCCGCCAGTTTGCTCAGGAAAACTCCGGCATGATTCCCAGTTATGGGGTCAAAACAGAATAACAATTTATTCCGCCCCGAATTTATTGTGAAAAACATGGTGCAAAAAAAATTTCCTAAGGTAAAGTAGCTCTCCTATGTTATAATTGCAGCTGTTTTTCAGAGCATCCTTCAAAGCTGCCTGACAAGGAAAAGCCCCGGCTCGGCACCAAAAACCTTCACATTGCAGCTCCAAGAACCGACACCAGCAGTTAGAAAAGGGCAGAAGTCACAGTTAACATATATACACATGCACACACACACACACACACACACACATATATATATATATTTAGCAGATTATGAAGGGAAGTTGCGTTAACGGAGCAGGGAGACGGAGGGCGGCTTCAGCCCCGGGGCTCAATGGGCAAATGGAGCGTGTGGAGAAGAGCAAAGTGCCGCCGCGCTTGCCCCGGCAATAAACGAGATCCCAGCTCTGAAACCGGGATTATTAACGTCTTCATCACACCAGACCAAAGCCCCACCAGCCGCCAAGCGCCTTAAGTTAATTGCTTGGCGATTACGGGGTGTTTTTGCTGCCGAGCAATTAGCGCTTTGTGGGTTTTAAGTGACGAGTTTTTTGCAGAATTATTAGGGGTCGGCGTGCGGCTCTTGCTACGGCAAACGTCACAGCTGCCCATTTGCTCCAGGCCAGGAACCAGCGATCCCCACTCCGGATAACTTACATCCGCACTGCCCAGTGTCCCAAGCAGAGGAGCGGAGCCAGAGGAGAATTCCTGCCACCTGGAAGAGCCTGCAGCTGGCACAGCGTTGGCATCGGGGACAGAACTCCCATGGAAAACCGTTGGATGTTGCGCCTCTCCGTGCAAGAGCCGCTAAGAGGTATTAAATTGCCGGGGTGACGCGCGCAGCAGCCGGTCTTGACAGCCAAGAGGCCCCATTGCTGCTTCTGTACAAGTCAGTTTAGTTCCCATCGGAGCCTGGCCCCGCTCTTTCAGCCTTTACCCGCATCATTCCAAAGCCAACACGCAAAAAGATATAAACACGCACATTTGCTGGCATCCCGGCTTCCATCAGTCACAAATATCACCTTTAAATGGACTGGCCAGCACGGGCAGACCCGCGCCGGGAGCGATCTCTTTTATATCCACTCATTAAGTTACATTTATCTACCTACACATGCATGACACTATTTGGCTGTTTAGAAAGGGAGTGATTAAACGCGCACAGAGTCCAAAGCAACAGTCACGATAAGACATTTTCGATAAGTTTTGCCATTGGGACTGAGACTAAAGCATCTCGCAGGCTGCCTTGGCTCTGGCATAGCTGGAAGGAAAGAGTTTAAAAATCAACACGGCGGGCAATTAAGAATAATAATAAATCGCACGCTCAGTCTCAGAGCTTTGGACCGAATGATTCTGGGTTTTGGTCAGTGAAGATGCACCACAGGGGGCTGGTTTTTGCTCTTTCCAACCTGACAGAGCACATGAGCTAGCAGCAACTGTCCACAGAGAGAAATATTTGGGAACCGCCTACCTAGGCCTGTTGTGTGACTCGGGCCATCCCAGCTGTCCCAGGCTCTGCACAACACACTGGGTTTTGCTCCTCGCTTCTT